CCTAACACCACAATAAAATACAATTACATAATACACCAGTGCCACCATCACCCTCAGGGCTAACATTAATGATATCTTAAACTTCATTCAGCCCATTTTATCTCCAAAATGTCATTGTTTCTTCCCTCAGTGTATACCCCTTCCCTCTCTGAAATACATATTCCAAGAATACACTCCACATTTTCATAAAATCATTACAGTATTTTTTGATAGGCCTCTTCTTATTTTCATATTATATGTCAGTTTATCATTAATTGCCATATCCCATAGTTCTCTATACCATTCCTCTAAATTGAGTTGGTTATCATTTTTCCAGTTTCTTGCAAAAATTAATCTTGCTGGCATAATCATTATTACTATTAAGTCCTTATTTTCTTTCAAAAATTTGATCCTTCTTAACCAAATTCAATAAAGCCATTGATGGGGATATTTGAATATTTTACCTAGTTATTTCCCTTATTTCTTTAAAATTTGCTTCCATTCTTGCTTTCTTAGTTCACATGACCACCACATATGTATATACATCCCCTTCTCTTTTTTACACCTCCACCATAGTGATGATACATTTTTGTTTATTATACTGTATTCAGTTTTACTGGCGTTAAATACCACCTCCATATTACCTTATAACAATTTTCTTTTATCCTTACAGACATGTTCTTCATAATTCTTTGGTCCCACATTTTATCCCATGCTTCTCCTATTACTTCTTTATCCAAATCATATTGCCACTATGTTTTTAATCCTTGTGTATCCTGTTCAGCCTGAATTAATAATTTATATATTTGACTTACAGTTCCCATTATTTCTGTCTTTTCCTCTAATTTCAATCTTTTTTCAATATTCTCTTCAAATTTTGTCATTTTCTACTTTTCCCTTCCTTACTATTCCATTCCCTTGTCCACCTTTCTATTTGAATTAAATTAAGAAGGTGAATCATATTCAAATTCAAAATATTTGAATCATATTCAAAGCTCCAGAATAATTAAGGGTGAATTAAAGGAGTATAAGCAAATATTAGGTTGATCATTTCCCCCACTTTCCTTGACATGCTGTTTCCCTTTTCATTCTGGAAATATATATATTCCTGATTACATCAGACTGAGGTCTCAAGAGGGCAAGTTTTACGAAATCTCTGGCCCTCCATTTTGTGATCATTGGTCTGATGTGCTTACGTTTTACCTGGCATAGCTAATGAAAAGGGTTTGGGGGAGTTGCAGGATACTTTATTTGGAGTATTAAAAGTTCCTCAACTTTTTATAGCATTATGCTTGGGGAAAAATGCATTTTTAAAAGACAACTCTCAGAAATTGCCCAGCCAACATGTTCAATTGTGGTCCAAGAGAAATTATTTCTTTGGACTCCACTATAGGTCTTAAAAATAAACCAATATGGAATTCGCCTTCGTGAATACAGTATGGAATTGTTTGCCTTTTGGGAAAAGGAACCACGTGGAATCCCAGGTAGCTTGCTCTGACCTTTCATGGGGAAAGTACAGATAATATATGCATAATAAAGAACCATTTAAAACTATAGCTTGCATAATAGACCAGTGGTTCTCAACCTTGCGTAGCTCAGGTGTTCTTGGACTGCAGTTCCCAGAAGCCATCACCACTATCTGGGCAGCCTGGGTTTTCTGGGAGTGGCAGTCCGAGAACACCTGGATTACCCAAGTGACCTTTCATGGGGAAAGTACAGATAATATATGCATAATAAAGAACCATTTAAAACTATAGCTTGCATAATAGACCAGTGGTTCTCAACCTTGCGTAGCTCAGGTGTTCTTGGACTGCAGTTCCCAGAAGCCATCACCACTATCTGGGCAGCCTGGGTTTTCTGGGAGTGGCAGTCCGAGAACACCTGGATTACCCAAGGCTGGGAACCAGTTTCTGGGAGTGGTAGTCCGAGAACACCTGGATTACCCAAGGCTGGGAACCAGTGATAACAACTAAATAACAACTATTGGAAAAATACAGAGAGTTTAGAGGATGAAGAAAGGTTAAAAAGGAAGGAAGGAAAAATGGAGGAAGAGAAGGAGGAGGAAGAGGAAAGAAAAGTGCTGCAGGATTCTTCCTGATTTTTGCTATCAACTGTCATTTGTGAATATCAAGATGGAAATTGATGACAAATTGATTTATCTCAACAAAACATGCCAGGCCAGCTTTGTTTTCTCTTGTTCCCACACTGATGGAAGAAGTAGTTTTGCTGATGTAGCAAATGAGTGTTAATTAAATCTGTAATCCTTCCTTTCTCCCATTTGCTAAGATTTTGTTTCAATGCCAGCCTGCCAAATAGGTGAAGCTGAGAGGGAGTGACCTCCTTGCTTAAGACTATCCAGTGAAGTTTGTAGATGATCAGCAATTTGGTCCTCCCTTTTCCTACCCAACTATGATATTTTGCCTACTCCTGCATCTGGCTTCTCTTTCTGCCCCTCCCCCCACGGTCATGAATACTTGTCAAATGAGGACAATTTACACATCTGGCGAAGAGAAAGGCCTTGGATTGTGACATCCCAGGCTGCAAGGGTTAGCTGTAAGTTGCTGCATGTTTTGGGGGGTGGGAAAAGCTCTTGATGTGTCATAGCTGTTACTTGAGAGAAGAGTTTATATGACATGGCCTACAACCCACTCCATCATATGTA